AAAAAGTAGTGTATGGTATAACACATAATATAAACGTGGCATACCAATATGAAGAATAAGTAAACGAGAAGAAAGAAGGAAAATGAAAAAAAAAGGAAAAAAGGAAGTATATGCAAATGATAGTAAGTAAAGTCATCCAATTCTTTGTTCTTCTTTCTTTTTTTTTAAGTATCTTAACGAGCATGAAATGTTCAGAAAATATCAAAATAAATGTGTTTATTTATAAATCTATACGATATAAATGATATAGATATGATATAGAAAAGATCTAAGATTTTAATTTTTTTATTACGATGTTAACCAACCAACCAACCAATAGTTTCTATCAATGTAGAATTATAAAAAAGTAGAAGTTTATGTCCAATGTGATAATAAATGCGTAATCAAATATTTAGAGAATATCATAGACATAAATTCATTGTTATTAATAATAACGATTTAATCGTTGCAAATAGAAAATAATCGACAATTTTAGTGAAGTATAAAACATATAAGTTTTATCTCTTACATGTTTGTTACTGATCCAATTAATGATGAATGTTTCAATTCTGCAACAGAAATTATATTATGGGCAAAAAAAATTTAATTTTTTTTCAATATCAAATAATCAATATTTAAAAAATTTTTTCAAACATACTATGATTTCTCCAAAAATATATATATATATGTGTGAAATTATTATTATTAAAATATTATTAAAATTAATTAAATTAAATATTCATTATATTTAATATTTAAAATTAAATGTTATCAAATATATACATTATTATTATTTATATTGCACATTATTTATTAAAAAAATGTTGTTGTTATATAACTATTTCGCGCTAAAAGCATTTCCATACGTTCAATTTTATTCCTTTATTAATGTGAGTTTTATATTTATATTATTTTTAATATTATTTTTTTCTAGCATTGATAAAGTAACTATTTCTCAATACACTATTTCTAAATCTTCTTATCAGATCAAAATTTCTTTCAGGCTTTTCAGTTTAGAAAATATTACAAAAGATTAAATATAATGATTAGGACATAAATATTTGTGAATTCTTTGTTGTTAATTTAAAAACTGCTTAATAAACAATTTTTCTTTCAAACAAATTTTTTTCAATGCAGAATACAACTTTTGATAGAGATAAATATGTTCGTTAAAAAATAAAAAATAAAAAATTGCATAATCTAGCATTCAAACAACAAATTATTATTTATTTATTCCTCTTATCTGATAAAGGACGTTAGGTAATTTAACAACAAAATAGTCTATCAAAGATTGAATTTGATTCCGCATGTGTTTGCAAGAGATTTCGTATCGAAAAAATTATTTCATTGCAATAAAAGAAATAGCAACATAGATAAAAGCAAATTCAACATAGTTTGATAATACATTTGCATTCTTCAGAGGATGAAAATTTAAATAGAAAGAAAAAAAAGAGAAAACTATTCTTATCTCTACCTTGGATTGCTCCAATTTTTTACTGTACTGATCGAAATGTGAGAACGCTAAAGTACGAGATATACAATGATCTCCATACACTTTTTTCAATAAATGATAAGTTTCAAATTGATTTTTTCCTGAATTGACTAAAAACTTGATGATTATTTGTTGTTCGAATTTTGAACTCGACATAATTTTAAGATTATTTTTAAACACTTTTTTTTTAACAATAAAAGAACCAATCACGATTATCTTGAAATAAATAACGGCGTCATTACTGTGTAATAACTTTCAAATGAAATTACAGATGTAATTCTTCAGAAAGCACAGAATTGCTAATATGATCTGTAATATTTTTGAACATTCTCGAATTTTTACGCGTCTGCGGATTTCGATATCACGTGTTGCTCTTTCCACTACCTGGAACTAAATGAAAAGTTTCAAAGTTCCTTAGAGAAGCAAACAGTTCATAGGGAAAAAGAAAGGTTAGGGAAGGTTTTCTAAAATCACTTGTCATGGTATCATAACAAAATGACCAATCGGATCTTTTAGCAGGTAACTCTTCGAGGGATGATTCTTGAACTAAAAGTCACAGAAGGTATTATGCTGCATCAGACAATTGGTCAGGCATTTGGCTATTTTGTTTCTTCTTATTTTTCTTCGTTCTGCGTGCGCATGTATGTGTCTAATAATAATCATATCTTTTATGGACAAGTAAAACGGGTTATATTGAATAGAAAAGTCCTGTATCATTTTGCGATTTTTGAAATGTATAATTAAAATTACCAATTTAAAACTACAAATGAGTGAGTAATCGAAGAAACAACTCAGTGTCACGTGTTTGCTCCATTTGCTAGGTGCGCGGCAGGATATTGATAAAGATATGATTTACAAATGATAAAGCATTAGCTGCGTTCAGCAGAACGCAATAGTTTTGCAATTGTCTTACGATTTTTTGCTGAACATTCTAAACAGTTCTAAGTATACTCAGCATCTCAATACGTTTCAGCAGTCGCCATGATCTCTAGAAAACTAAAAGTATTCTCAAGCAGCAATAAATATTGAGTGAAATAATTGCCTTCATTGTCAGCAATTAAATCATTTATAATAAAATTAAGCCAATATTAATTCCATCCATGATGATTTTTATCCATGATAAATATTATTATATCGTATTTCTCCGCGATTCCAGATTATCTACAATTTCATCACATTGTGACGAGATCCTGAAAGGTTAGATTTCACTATTAATATTCATGCATGCCTTAATTATAAAAACATTCAGCAGAATATCCAACAGATTGTAATTTATCAATAAATTATTTATTAATTATTGCGTTCTGAATTGAACGCAACTATTTCTTTATAATTATACACATCTTCAAATATCTCGATGTGCATTTAGCAACTATGTGCGTAATGTTGGGTTATATAATCCTTCGAATACTCGCTTATTCGCGAACGTACACTCTTTAAATTATTGCAAAATAGTATAGAATTTTTCTATTCAATATAATTTGCTCTATTTATCCATGAAAAGTGATACGGTTATTGCCATACACCCTGTATACATATTTATTTTTATTTTAAAATGATCTTCTACACGATAATTAAACTTTGCTAGTTATAATAATTATTTATATGAAAAATAATTGATAAAAATTCAAAAAAAATTTTTTAAACAATTTTTCAAACAAAAATTTTTTATATTATTTTTTTATTAATTACGTTTTCATTGTTTATTTCTTTTGTTTATAAAAATATCGTTTAAATTGATAGTTATACTTTTATTTATTTTACAACTCAAATATATTTATTGTATATTTTTTACAATTATTATAATTAAATCTGATTAGTATAATCTTTATTTTAATGGGTATAGTTATGCTAATATATATATGTAGTGAATTTATTAATAATAATATACTTGGGAAATACAAAAGTATGTTTATTTTATCAGAAATACATTTCACACATTGGTAGTATTATTATTAACACTGATTAAATTAATCTTCTTATATCTATCATCAGCGCAATCTAGAAAGAAAGTGATCGATAATAATGGAAACAACAAAGTTCGCATGTTGCAACAAAAATATCAATGTATGTTTGAGCTACTAAGTTAGTCATCCTTCACTAGATTAGAGAAAAAAAAGTTCACCGAGAGATAATAAAATAATAATAATTTATCAATGATTCAGATCATTATTGACATATATACCAATATCAATTTAAATTTATACTATATTTTAATATATACTATATTTATACCTAATGACTCATGTTTTCTCAATACCTTTTAATGATAGATTTTTTTAAATTAATATGAAGTCGAATTTTTTTTATACGAAAATATCGACGGAATATGAATTGTGGAATGGAGTGTTATTTCGTTATAGAAAGTGAACGCAAAAGCAGAATAAAAAAGACGTGAACAAAGAAACGCGTCTTTGTATTTCATACAGGATAATTTCGTAGGGAGATTTTCCATTCTATTCTATTGGAACCTCTTGGTAGGTATACAAAAATCTTTTGTACTTTTAATAGTTTCCGGACCCACTAATAGTTATTAATAACAATGAGTTACTGCGCAAAAATCGCTTTTGCGCAATACTGCATTATCATTAATTTTTTGTTGTGATAATACAAAAATATGAAGTATTTGATAACTAATAAGTCACAAAACTATTTTTTTGACTCTTAATTTCAAATTAATATTAGAAAATATTACAATATTCTGCTTTAATTAAAATACATGTAAAAAATACATATAAAATTTCAATTAATATAAACTATGTTGACAATTCAATGCAAGAATAGAAATTTAATTATTGATTTATTTTTTAAATTGATTATTTCTGAAAATGAAATTTATATATTATTTTGAATAAAACTGGAAAAAAGAATAGACAAACAATAAATATATAAACATTACATTACATTATAAATATTTTTTACGTAATTTTACGTAATTTTACGTAAGTTTACATAAATTTTATTTTTCATAAACAAAGTTATCTTCAAATAAAACTTATATCAAAAATTTTATAATAAATGTATTATTAGCGTTAGAAATTTTTCTACAATTTTCTTAAAAGAATCACTTTTTTGAAGTCAATTAAGAAAATACAAAATATCTTATATTTTATTATTATATTGCTTTAATTTTTGAAATTTAAAATTTGGATATGAGAATATAGTAATATTATAATATTAACTTTAATCATAAGATGTGTCAAAAATGCGAAAAAAATTGGGACCAATACTTGCCGTTCTCTTTGGTGAATAAAGAAACATCTTCAGTTTATAACAAAGAAAAGTAGAAACTGATCTAAAGTTTTTTCGTTTTTTGAAGTTTCGAGGTTTTAGCATTATAATAGTCTTCCTTCTTCACATATTTACAAAGTCGAAAAGATTTGATCTAAATTAATCGATTTTACAGAAATTCCTTTATGCGAAATTTTCGGTATACTCTCAATTTACCTGTTGCGCCTCGGCTTTGTCATTGCCGGTCGCCGAGGGTTCCATATTGCGCGTGAAAGAGAGATTTAGAACCTGAGAGATTACTGGGAGCTGGATATTCTTGCGTCGTCGAAGATTTCACGAAGGGAGATACCACTCACTCGGATCGCGTTTGAAAAACGACTGCAAATAGGGCCAATTTCTAATAAAGTCTGATATCATCCGTACGATTATCGAACTCCTACCAAGCAGGTTTTATCAGGTCTTATCAGGTTTGATTGCTATCACGTCCGTTGTCCGTCGCGAGTGGTCGGTAGAAATGTGTTTGTCCGTAAAACCGCAAGACCTCGTCACGTCGCAGGATGTTCGTGGCTAAGAAACACAATAATCGGAAACCTTGGAAAGGTCGCTATTGTAAACAGTAGGACTTTTATCTATAATTTATTACGAAAAAATTCGGAATAGAGTTCTCTTTCTAATTTTATATGTCATGTGCAATTTAGAGATATTCTCAGATAGCAACAAATATCTAAAAATCATTTAAAATGTATTCAGAATGCCGCGAGGGACGCTCTTGACCGTTTTGAGTATATTTCGAAACATTTTGTGCTACATAAATTCAGTAATACATGTATGTTGTATTAATGATTGACAAGATTAAGCGTTTATTAAATAATGTATAACTGATGTTAGATAACCAATAACAATTTTCTTTTATCAGTAGAACTATTGCAAAAATATTAACTACTAATTTTTTTCGGACATAATTTGTTTTCATTAAAATCACATATCTATATATAAAAAGAAAATGATATAAATTATCGCCTATAGTGTTTTGATATTCTTTTTATCCACCAATAAATTACGCACATGATTAATATCATTCACTTGCACTTCCATATAATCACAGAAGTAAATAGTAACATTAAATTTGAATAGGAATTGAGAAGAATGACTACTTTTTTATAAGAATAATTTTTTATATCTTTTCTATGTAACTTCGTTTAAATGAAACATTTAATTTTCTATCAGGCGTTAGTTATTAGAAAATCGTGTAAAGCGTGATGCTGCCAACAGCGTTTCATTGTAAAACTTTGTGTTCACCATGCTAGAAATTGACCTAAGATTTCAGGCGATTTCTAGCATCACAGATCCAAGGCTTTATTTCAGAACAGCAGGTCAACAATTGACAGGCTGCCCAATGCTTAGTAGACTTGATGTTCTGAATGTATTCACGAAACAGCCTATGTAGGGCTGCAAATGCAAATGTAAATGTAAACATAATAGAATGACGCAACACGCTATCGCGTGTTGCGTCATTCTATTCTTGATTTACATCTAATGAGCGATAAAGATAAAATAATGAAAGCGCTAATAGCGTACTTCCCGAAGCATAGATACGATATAAGAATTAATATTTTTGCTATTCGGGTAATTTAATTTAAATAGAGATTATGTAGAATGTTAATATATATTTTTTTATCTTTGACACAAGTTTTGTAAACATTAGGAAAAAATATTGGAAACACAAATATTTAATAATAATTAAATGATTAGGAAGTTTTTATTTGACACGTGATAACGTTATCATAATTTTTTTTATTCTACTTAGAATCTCTTTTTATTCAAATCTTTATATTCAGAAATGATTTTGTTTAATTCAAAATATGTAAGAAATAATTTGGTGTTAAAGAAATAAAAAAACAAATACATCTCCCTTTACTTATTAATTTGTTTGACGGAACCACTTACGAAAAAATAAAATTTATTTGAACTCTTTACACCTACTTGACTCTAATTCCCTAATTTTCTTTCCTGACAAAAAAAATTTATAATGCAATCTCTATATGAAAAATATCACAGATATCAGAAGATTTATCATCATTTATCAGACTATTTATTCCAATATTTTACTAATGCCAACTTTTGAAAATGTGAAAGTCCCGTGACACACATTTAAAACTGTCATTGGCTGTCGAATGCGTGCCATAGCCAATCAGGATGTACTTGTCTGCGACGCAGCTTTGTGATTGCACCATAGCCAACACTGCGTCCTAACACTTCCTGTTTCGCAGGATTATGACAACAGTAAAGTGTAGTTGCAAGATTGTGCGAAATCGTCATCTTAATCAACAAAATAAACATCAGTCTCGAAATACAAATCTTAATCTTGTTATCTGCACTTGAGTATATTTATCGAGGTCACTCTATTGCATTGTGTGCAGGTAAAAGACATTGTGAATCATAAACATAGTAAAAACTATGTCTATGGATGAGATATATATTTTAAAGACATATATATTATGCATAAACCCAATATTTCTTGCTAGGAATATTAATATCAGATAAAGAATTTTACTGAAGAATAGTTTTTCTAAAGAACTTTCTTCTTTGAATAATTAATGTATTGAAATAAATCTGCCTTGCATGACAGATGAAATGTCAACTTAAGAAATCAACTGTTCTGTTTTTCTAAATAATTGTTTCTCTTTTACTTGATGTTATCATTTTGATGTATCATCTTTTATAGGACACATTTGCATTTTGCTCTTTAGTAGTAAATTTTTTGTATTTCTTTTCTTTCCTCATTTTAATGTAGATCTATTTTGTTTTATGCAAATAAATAAGCAAGAATAATTAAGTAAAAAATAAAATACAATGCAGTTAAAAATCAGATCATTTGTTTGGTTTCATTATCATATCAATATTGTACTGGCATTTATCTTTTTCTCTTTTTTGTATTAATTTATATGTATTTATTTTTCAAGATACTTGAATTAGAGAAAAATCTTAAATTTGATAACACAGCTGTGATCGATCATAGCAACATGTATACATCTATGAAGAAACATACATCCAACCATTGTTCTGATCCTAAAGTAATGTTTGAAATAGATCAAGCATGTTTCAGTATTTTAAACAAATATAATAGATCTGTCACATTATATTCCCGTCTGTCGGATTGTTATTTGGTATGTATTTAAATAAAACTATATAAATTTGACTGTTGATAATATTATTCTTTGCTTGTAGTGCGAAGGTGAACCACAAATATTACCAGCGGGAAAAAATACTACATTAGTTGTACCTACAAAATATTCTATGCACTTGTTTTATAAAGACACATATGAGTACTGTCAGTAAGTGATTTGAGAATATGAGTCTCATAATCATTTTATTACATCTGTTGAAATATGCAAATGTAATTTCTATGTTTTAATTTCTGTTTATAGCACTACATATAGTTTTAAAGAGCATGGTAGTTATGGATGGAATATTTCAGAGGATCAACTATGTTCGGAAATTTATACAATTCAGGAACCAGTAAACAGTTATCTTCGTAAGTTAAAACAATATATTACAATCTTCTATAGTTTTAATTTACCTAAAAGCTGATACTATTATCACGATAATTTTTCTTGCAGCAATATATGAAGCCATCATGGTATACATTTTGTTACTGATGTTATTTATCAGTCCCAAAATTATCATGCGTATAATAAAGAGAGAACGGTCTCCAGATAATGTACGCGATGTAAGTGTTTCTATATGAATATGTGATCATATATATAAACACCATGCTGAATATCATGCCTATTTTTAGGATTTGGAAGAGCTTCAAGAAGCAGAGACGCCGAATTTGATTGTTAGGAGATCCAGTACTAGGATCCGTTCAGTCGACACATTCCGAGGGTATCTTTTATTTTTACATGTTAAATGATGTAATACAAGCCGACTTAGTGTTTTAAATATGTTATTCAATCATTTCAGGATTACTATATTATTAATGATATTTGTCAATAATGGCGGTGGCGACTATGTATTTTTCAAACACAGCGCGTGGTTTGGTCTGACAGTGGCCGATTTAGTATTACCTTGGTAAATTATATGTATCCTCTTGCGTTTTATACATATACAGAGTGTAACTGAAAGTTCTATACAAATCATGAAAACAAATTCTATGTATTAATTTAGTCCGTAAAATTTATTTTCGAAGTTGTATAACCGTGACTTTTCACTTACATTCTACATATATTCCGTTCCAGGCTACCATGTTCTTATATTACAGGTTTGCATGGGTTATGGGATTATCATTCACTATATCAAAACGATCGGAGCTTCGTGTGTCAAATTCACGTGGAAAGATTATTTGGAAGTGTCTGATTCGCGCGATTATTCTCGTATTTCTCGGATTAATGATAAATTCGATATACACAAAATCATCAATTGAAAATTTTCGTATTCCGGGTATACTTCAATTACTAGCCGTTTCATACTTTATATGCGCCACCATCGAAACTATATTCGTGAGGATACATTCTCAGGTTTGAATCACATTTTTTTTATGATAAATATTACTTATGAGGAATCAATCTGTGATAATTAATAATCTCTTAGGATGATGTGTTGCAGTTCGGTCGATTCACAATTCTACGTGATATTTTGAACAATTGGATGCAATGGTTGATTATTTTAGCGATTACGGCAACGCATACTCTCATCACATTTCTACTACCTGTCCCAGATTGTCCAACAGGATATTTGGGACCCGGTGGTTATCATCAATTTGGAAAGTTCGTCAATTGTACCGGAGGTGCAGCTGGTTATATAGACAGACTTGTATTTGGAAGTCATATGTATTCTAGAACGCAAAATGTTGTGTATGGTACCATTTTACGTCATGATCCCGAAGGTACATACAATAAATTCTTTAATCTTTCTGATAAGAGAAGTTCGATGAATTTCTCACAACTTTAGATTTATAACTAACATATTATCTACAGGTATAATGAACACTATGTCTATAATACTTGTTGTGTACTTGGGTATTCACGCTGGAAAGATTTTATTGCTTTACTATCAATGCAATGCAAGAATAATTCGCTGGTTGCTATGGTCGTGCATCATGGTAAAATCTATTTTTTTTTATTTAACGTGAAAGATTAACAGAAAAAAGATATACAATTTATATATAACAATAATCGGTATTGATATTTAGGGTATTATTGCTGGATTATTATGTAACTTTGATAAATACTCTGGAGTAATACCAGTCAGCAAGAAAATGATGTCACTCTCATTCGTTTTGACAACATCCTGTTTTGCATTTATATTATATGCAATCTTACATTTTTTAATCGATTATAAGCAATATTGGAACGGTGCACCATTTATTTATGCAGGTTTGTAGCATATTATTCAATAATTCAATGTTTTATTTTTACCTCTCCTTATTTACAGTGAATCTGTATCACGTATCATTTCATTTTTTATGTATTAAATCTAAGATGGAATATTTATTATTTTACATTCGTTTTAGGTATGAATCCAATTGCTCTTTACATTGGACATGTACTCACTATGGGTTTGTTTCCATGGGCTTGGCCTACATTGCATACATCACATTTAACAATTCTTAGTATGAATCTGTGGACCACAACTGTATGGAGTTTTACAGCATATTGGTTATATTTAAAAGATATTATTATCTCTATTTAAAATTATCATAAAGATTTATTAATAATTTCATTATAATGCGACATAATCCTGTGAAAGGGATTAAATAATTAGAGAAAATTTTTTTATGCTTACAATGCTATTATTACAGACATACATTATTGGATTATGTAATTTATAAAGATAAAGATTTTTTAATCATTGTGATAAGAGAAATACTAAGATAGAAAGAAAAGATAGTTTGCTCACACGTTTATAAATATCGTTCATTAATTTTGTAATTTAGATTTCATAAAATTATTCAAATGTAATTTTTGTTTTAACTATTATTCATGTACTAATTTTTTAAATAAAATTTTTATAAAATTGTTGAATTATGTTTTATATTTCTAATATTAAGCATAATAAGAATAAATTATTATATCATCTGTTTTCTACAATGAATATTATATCACAACATAAACAATTTATAAAACTTGTGTGTAACAATATATAAAATTAATGTGTAACAATAAATTATTAATATAAAAAGAATCGTTTATATATTTCTGTCTTTGGGATCTTTATAAGATAAACCTAGGATTTTGAAAATATCTTCTTCAGATCTAATTTTTTCAGCTTCTCCTGGACAACCTAAAAATATAATCTCTATTATATTTATCAATCTTAATTACTATATCTTCACGTATTACATTATTTATACATTGTTTCTTGTTCAGAGATTTTACCTTCAGTTGTAAGGCGCTTCAATGTATATTCATTCAAAGTATATTTCTTTTCCAAAGCGTGCGCTCTCATATTTTTATTGAACAGATCACTTCCTGTGAAATAAAGAATAGCGCAATAATATTGATCGTAAAACGTAAGACGTATATCCAATCGTCTGAAAGGCTTGCTTTTATCCCCTGGTAATCGACACACTCCCTAGAAATAAGAGCAATATACAATAAAAAATGTCTTCTTGACATAAGCATTTCTTGTTTCGTTTTATTTCAGTACCATGAATTTAGCAGATCCAAGAGAAATCGTATCTGTAATCAACCGTTTCTTTTCAAGACATTCAACAATTGCTTTCAATGATACAGCCCTCTTTTGCTCATCTTTCGCTTTCGATGTGTAATTAGGATGAGTTATTAGAACATCAATATCTCCACTTTCCTCTTTGCCACGTCTGTAACTACCACAAATAGTTACAAGATATGCACTATTTAGCTCTTTAATAATGTCCTTTAGCATCTTCTCTATCTGTGCAATTTCTGCTCTAGGTATTTTCTTCTCAAAGTCACCAAAATACCTAAAGAAATTTGATATATTAGTTGAAACATCTCAATGTGTTAAATCAATTTCATACTTCAATCCCAGTTTCTGATGATGTGTGAGTTTGTCCTGGTGCTTCTTGAGATCTTCCAAAGTCTTGATACCAGCCTCTACTAATTCCTTTGCCTTGGCAGGACCTATTCCAGATACTCGAGCCAACAGGTTAATAGCAACATTGGTTTCATCCTTCTTGATCTGAAAAAAATATGTGTAGAGATTTATACAAATTTAAATTTCTTCTTATTTTTATAAATAAATCTGTACATCTTCCAACTTTTGCAGCTTCCCGGTCTGAAGAAACTCATCTATCTTCTTCGCAATTTTTACTCCTATTCCAGGTAGCTTTTTCGCCTCCTCTCCACTCTTGACTCTTTCTGTTAGAGCGCCTAATGTCCCAGCAGCTTTGCGATATGCATTATACTTGTAAACATTCTTACTAACATTACGTTCATAATCTGCCAGCTCTGCAAATAGATATCTTATCATATACCTAATTGCATATTCTTATAATATGAAAAGAAATAAAAGTATTTCTACTTTCTTATAATAAAAAGATCAATATGCAGAAAAATATTACTTACCCATCAAAAAATCACATAAATCTTGATTTGGATTGTTTGCATTGTTCGTAGCCTTTCGCTTACCCATCACGAAGAAAACACGATGTAAGTTTCGAAAGAATGTTCGATTCAGTTTGTCACTCCTTAATTTTGTATATTTATTATTGTACTCTTTAACGGTTAAAATTTTTGAGGTTTTGTAAATAAAAATATTGACAACGTATATACACAGTGTGTCTCGACACGTCACAGCACTAAAAATACACAGCATGAAAATATCCTATAGTATACGTGACATATATTATAGATTTTTGTATGCATAGATTCAAGAATAGATTTCCAGTCGTATGTATTCTGATATAATGAAAATCTATATATATATATATATATTGAAAATTTGTTATTCACATTATGCATACTATAGATTTTCAATTTCAATATATATTTATTATACATATGTATATATATTGAAATACGACAGTAGGGGTACCCCGCAGGATTACGCAGATTTACTGATTCACAGGCTATATTTTAATTCGGACTTAATGAAAAAATATATATAGAGATTTATATAAATTTAAATTTAGTTTTATAAGTAAGTTTTATAAATAAGACTGTACATCTTCCAACTTTTGCAGTTTCCCAATGTGAAGAAACTTGTCTACCTTCTTTGTAATTTTTACTTCTATTCCTATAAGGAATATATTTTTATTTCTATTCCATGGCGGCGAATCGTCTTTGTGCGAATCCAATTTTGTATGTTTCTTCATAGAACAACTTTGATCAGATTGAAAATCATATGTGAAATTAATCAATTTACTTTAATTGTGTTATTTGCACTTGCTTGTTTCTTGAAAAAAGATTAAGATTAGCTGATTAGATTTTTGAATGATAGAGATTTATTTCATAATTATATTTCATAAAGAAACAAAGAAAATAAAATAGAAAATTGAAAAGAAGATATAAAAAAAGAACAAAAAATTATTAAAAAAAAACATATGCACATTTATAAACAGAGAATTTCTTTCATACTTATAAGTTTAAAATATAATTCGATATGAAAGAATGTATGTATAAAAATATAATTAAATTCTAATGTTGAAAATCTAAGAAATGAATCTCAGAATTGTCAAATTTATCTTC